AGTCCGTATACCCATCCAGACCCTCAATATGGGCACTCATGTCTCCCATAATAATTATTTCGGAGCCTTCCCCTAGTGCACTAATGTCTCTTGATATGCAATCAATCATTTTTCTGTTTTCCTCTTTAGCACCTGCCCCTGTCCATAAGTAAACAACACCAAGGACTGTTGATTCCCCAGCGACTTTTCCTTTCAGCCACAAATGTTCGGCGCACTCCTTTCTGATCCTTTGAAAGTTCATATTCTTCTTAATAAATGCTCCAATTCCACCTCCCTTCCTCGTTCCCTCCATTCTGTTGCATTCTTCCCACACATAGTCAGGGTTTCAAGGTGGCTGCTCCATGTCTCTGAGATGTGTTTCCACAAACCCATACACCATTAAATCCTCCTTTCTTAGTTGCTCCTCTACCTCTTCCCACTTTAACCCATTTCTACCACCCTGCGTGTTAATATATCCAATGTCTGATTGTGCTGTTTTTTTATACCTGTTCTTACGTTTTCTCCTATTTTTAACCCTGGGTGCCTCTCCTGACTTCGTTGGGTTTTCAATTACTTCAGTGCCCCCAGGACCCTCGGTCCCCTCAAAAAAGCAGTCACCGTGCGGCCCATCCTATCCCCCACCCTGTAACCCGTGTAACCCGTACGCGGTGTCGAATATTGGTGGAATGCAAGCGGGTAGGGACTTCACTTCGCGCAGTGCTGCGTGTCAGTACAGATAAGAGATAAGAAGTACGTTAAGATTGAGTTTTTCAATGGCGCCTCGGGGTTTTACCTCGCATACTCAGGCATATTAAGAAAAGCAGTAATTGCAAAGAGTAATATTTCGTCTATGGACACATGAAACAAACTTCCTGTTCAACAACACTAATGTAAAGGCGCGAGCTCGATGTATGCATACTTATTGTTTGCTACAGCTTGTTGATTCGTTCACAAGCAAGATCCCCTAGCACCCGAGCTTCGCAGTGTCGAGACTCCCAGCACTGGCTCGTCCACATACCTCGATTGGAACGCTAACAGGATGGCTCAAGTACAAAAATACAACAAGCATGTATTAAGACAAGCTATACATCTCGGGCTTGTGCTAAAGCTTCGAGGTCTGACCATTTAGGTTAGTTTAGAGACCACAAATGACGCTCTCGGGACCAGAAAACAATCTCTTGTCGACGTGTCGATCGAAACCGAAACCATGACACCCTCCTCCCTGGCCAACTAGTTCCCAGAGTGCAACGGGCGCCGTGTTGCATGCGCGGCTTTATGGAAGTAGTCTTCAAACCAGTTGACCCCTCAGTTGGTCCCAGTTGGACTCCTATTGGTCCCAGTTGATTCCCAGTTGGTACCAGTTAGTCTCAGTTGAAACCAGTTCAGGTGCCAGCTGGTCCCAGTTAGAAATTTTCGCCTGGGACGCCAACTACATTTTTTGCAGGCGCGCTTAATTTTATTAGCGGAGTACGGCGCTCCGTGACATCCACTTGTCCGTCGAAACGGACCTCTTTCACGTCGTACACGCGGCCAGATTCACGAAGGAGTTTTCCCTTCTTCATGTTCGTACCACGGAAGAAGCTTTCTGGATTCGTAACCGCCTTAAACCCGTCGAAATCACCCCGGGAACACTGTCCGCTGTGCTGCTCATCGCCATTGCTCCCCCCCGATGATTCTGCACCGGCTACCGAAGAAGCTTTCCGGATTCGTAATCGCCCAGTGTCCTCTGTGGTGTTCGTTGCTATATTACTTCCCGATGATTCTGCGCAGACGGCACTGGCTACCGAAGAAACTTTGAATTCGTAACTGCCTTAAATTCCTTCGTAATCACGACGGGGACACTGCCCGCCGTGCCGTTCGTCGCCATTGCTCCCCGATGCTCCTGCGGCGGCTACCGCTAGGTCGCTGCGAACAATAGGCGACCGCCGCGACACGGCCGGCTTGCTCGCTTCCTCTCTCCCGGAATTTTTCTCCTTTCCATCGACGGCAATCCTCTTCGCCGTGGCGCCATGTTTTAGAGCGCAGGCAACAGGGCACCCGTTTCTGGGTTACGAGGGTAAATTTTATCTCCAAATTTGGTAGGAAATTTTTCCGCTAAAATTAGCGGGAAAATTTTCAAGGTAAATAAAATAATAAAAAATAAATGTTCCCCTGTAGTGTGGACGAGACAGGAATATCCAGCTCGACTTAAATGTATATAGATTCAAATTTTTAACTAAGATGCGTGCCAAAATGACGTGCGAGCTCACTAGGGGTGTCGCGAACCGGCCGAGGTTCGAGTTCGACCAGGTTCGATTTTTTCGAACTTTTAGTAGAAAGTTCGACGAACCTTGTATTGAGGTTCGACTCGTTGCGCATGCGCGACAGGCTGGCCAGTTGGTTTCGGATTGGAATGGTGATTACTAAGGGATGCATTAAGGGCAGCGCTGATTGGTTATTTCAGTTAATACAGTACAAAAAAAAGTTATTAACTTCTTCAGTGATTAGAATTAGTTTCTTTTAATTGCAGCTGTTCACAAAATTCAAATAACGCTTTGCATAAAAGAAAAAAATTCTGCAATCCTAGAAATGTTTGTATCAAGGTCTGGCCACACTGTCCACAAATTAACCGGTCGAATCTGGTGAAAAGGTCGACGGTTCGTCGAACCGGTTCGACTCAGTCGAACCCCAAAAGTTCGACCTAAAAATCCGGTCCGTGACACCCCTAGAGCTCACAACATCGCCGCCGGGCGTGTCACGTTCGAAAGAATCAACTGTCCGGCCAGTCCCACACACGCTGAATAATTGTTTATTCGGTTCACACGCAATGGCACCGTGCGAGTTCCCCGAGTGCAGATGACTCATGCTGCTGCAATCTATGTTGTATAAAGAGTACCGACCTCAAATCGAAACTAGCGCCTTTCTGTTCGACGTGATGAGAGAGAATGCAGTCGCTACCAACTATTTATAAACGGCCGCTGCAAGAGGTAGTTTTTATTTGCAATGACGTCAAGCAACTCTGCTGTCGTAGAGATATTTACAGAAGACGTAAATTTTTACAACTTTTTGCAACTACAATGCCGCTGGTGTTTACACAGAAAACTGATGCTGCTGTCCGATCAGAAGCTTGATCCGTTTGAGCATGGTATGAGATCAGTGAGTATTATGCATGAACCACTGAAAGGGTACCGCTTAAAACTAGTCTGTTCGAATACCCAGCAAAACGTTTCCTGGTACTTTCGATTTCGATCGTTACAGACGCATCAAATTTTAACCTTGGTGAGGGCGTCGAGAATGAAAGCTTTCTCAAAGAAAATATGACTGGGCAAGATAGTTGACATAGCTAATTGTTAAACATAATGATGTTATATTTAGCTTTCTCGGATGCTTATTGGGCAGTGGCAGGTTTCTCCCGTACACTTTTTTCTTTTCACCCGCACACTTATTTCCCTCATACTTTTTTCACCGCACACAATTTTTCACCCGCACACGTAAGTGTGCGGGTGAAAAATTGTGTGCGGCGAAAACAGTGAAGATAAAGATCTCGGGGGCCTCTGATGCGTTTGTTCTGAGCATTTCTTTACACACTAGTATATTTGAGCGCCTGTACCCGTCTGTACGGCCAGAGCCGTGTGAACGGCAACAGAGCGACTAAAACTTGCAAATAAAGCACGGATTGAAGCGCCCCGTCGCTGCGAACTGCCACGCAGTGCACTCTGGGAACTAGTTGCCCACTCAGTTTCGGTTTCCATTGAGGAGCTTCAATTGATGCTATCACGCCGTGACCGAATGCGGCGCAATTGCGTTTTTGATTGTCCGACTTCCCACAAATGTACAATACTCTAAGCATTCTCGAGCGATATAGAAGGACGACCGGGGCACTCTTCTTGGTTTCCGACATGCCGGATATTGTGCCTGCATATGCAAACGTATTTAGACCGCCAAACGCGCTTGGAATACTTTGGTTCATTTGGCGCACCGCATAGGGGTTCACGGCGTGTACGTGCTGTCCGCCGAACTGTGCGACATTCTTCACGCAAGTGCTCCACTGTTGCTTTCTGCAGAAAGGTTTGTATGTGTGAATGTGCCTATATGATTGGCAAGATAACTTCATGCGATATTGAATTTATCAAATCCAAGCGTGTAGGGACTTCACTTCGTGCAGTACGTGCTGCGGGTCAGTAAATATAAAGGGATATATTGTTCGATTTTAGCTCTTCATGGCGTCTCCCAGTTTTACCTCGCGTACTCGGGGGTATTAAGAAAAAAAACTGTAACTGAAAAAGGTAATTTCGTGAATGGACACATAAATCAAGTAACAAACTTGCTGACCAGCAACACTAATGTAAAGTTGCGAGCTCGGTGCATGCGAACTTATGGAATTGTTACAGCGTGTTGACTTGTACACAATCAAGATCCCCTAGCTTCGCAGCGTCGAGATTCCCAGCACTGGCTCGTCTACAGACCTCGAAATGCTGACAGGAAGGCTCGAGTACAAAAATAAACAATTTGTGTCAAGACAAGCTTTGCGTGTGGTTCGGGCTTATGCTAAAGCTTTGAGGACTGGCCATTTAGGTTAGAGACCCAAAACGATGCGCTCGGGAGCAGGGAACATGAGATAACAGCTGTTTATAATCAACGCTTTGTGTATAATCTCTTGTCGATGCTCGATGTGTCGATCGAAACCGAAACCATGCCGGAGTCCAACGCGCTCAGTGTTGCTCGGCAGGGATTTATGGAAGTAGTTTATTCAAGCTCGCGTTTGATTTCGTTGCCCGCGAGACACAATTTCTGTCAGAAATTCTACTTTTTTTTTTTCCTTTCGGTTCTGGTGTACAAATGACACGTAGCAGAACAACCGCTCGTCGTATGCTACCGCTACTCGCCGAAGCGAGGCATGATGGGATTGCATTTTGGCGCACGCTCCATTTTCTCGGTGCAGCGGGTGCATGCACGCTTAGGGGCGAGCGCCTATCCAGAGATCTGCCCGTGCCTAGATCTGGGGACAACGCCAGCGTAGGGAAAACCGCTCGTAAGGAATCCGTTCGCGTAGTGGTGATGATGATGATAGCGTCACGAATGACTCGCGCACTGGCTGCACTGGCGCCCTGGCGCCTCGCTGTTTTCAACGGTTCTCAGTTTGAATTTCGTATGTGGTTGCTGGTTGCTCCGTAGCTTTTGTGCATGCTAGCGGCATAACGCCGACCCAGATAAGTACAAGTGCATGATTTGTGACATGTGCTTCAAGAAAATCTACAACCTAAAGAGGCACCTAAAGGAGGTTCACGGGGACGCTGACACGACTCACGAGCTGGATCACACTGTCCGCTGCCGCCTTGCATGCGATCTGTGTCCAACAGCTTGCTGCGCCACTTTGAAGCGAAACACGGGATCGTCGCGAGGCGTGACAAGTTAAAGTTCAATTTGTTGAAAGGTAAGTGCGCTCGCTTAGTTTTCTACCTTTTCTACAGAAGAAAAATCAATAACAATGCCTACCACTGTTACAAAATACGGTGTGGGCCTAGAGCAGAAAAGATATAATTCAAGCTCTCGTTTAAAGACTAAAAAATTTGAAAAGAGACGACAATTCATTACCACAAATTTGCATCCGCACCAATGGTGACTATTACGATTGCACAGAGGGATAAAATACACTCGTTCCTCTAATAGCACGAGCTGCCACATGAAATCCCAGCATATGTTGAAAACATTGCAAAAGAAGAGGATAAGAACAGAAATGGCAACAAGCGTTACCATCTAGTATCGACTGACTGTTTGATGCGTGCTAAGAGAACTACAAGAAGAAAGTCGGTTTGTTAATTTTTTTTTTCTTTCCTTTTCTCTTCTAGAGGGTTGTCCATCTTTCTAGAGCATCAAAATGCAACACTGCCTTTCTTTGAATCTCAAAGTGCCACATTCTTTTCGATAGTGCCACTTGTCCTGTCCGGGTCCCTATCATTTCGTCGAAACTCGTTTCGTAGAATCACGTTTCGTGGACAACTTTTCGTGGACACACGTTTCATGGACACACGTTTCGTCGACACTGTGACATTTCGTCGACAATCGTTTCGTCGACAGCACCACCGTAAAACTTTTCGTCGACAAACTTTCTTTTTTGCTGTTCCGAAAGGAATGCCGTTAAGGTACAAGCGCCTGTAAGAGATGACAAAGACGATGCCTAGCGCAGTTGCTCTCCAAGGTGAGCAACTGCGCTATCCTCTCGCTCTCATCCGTGCCACATGAAATAAGTAAGAGCGCGCAGGACTTCGCGCGCGGCCTATTCAGATATTTGCAAGTTCCGATGCCCGTTTATGGAACCGAAAGTTACTGGAAGAAAAAAAAAAAAAACGGTGGAGAAAAATATGCGTAGGCGCAAAACAAAACTTCGTTCCAATGGTGGGTTGCGGAAAAGGGCGTAAACACTGATTTTTTTTTCTTCATATTGGTTATTTTTAAACAAAAATACAACTTGCAGCTTTTTATTGCAACATTACAACCCTAATATTTCACTTGAAATTAAACATGTTCATTACCCTCAATTAGTCAAAAGGAAAAGTGATGCGGTGTTTGACTGGCTACTGCGGCTTATACGCGAGAAAACTGTTTAGTCGCACTCGTTTCATCGTCATTAATTTTTAAGGGCCGTTTAAAAAGGACATTACATAATAAGGGGGCTGTCAACAATGTCAAATAAAAATAAATAACAAAAACACGAAAACCAGTAACACTCGCAAGTACTACCGCGAGCTCGCTGCCCGCGAGTAAACCTAAAAAAAAGCTACATTGCAATGCAAATACAGAAAAACACGAGAATTGGTAACATATAAATAACACATTACATCAAATAATTTAGTCTTATTACACGAAGTAAACCATAGTTGATATCAAATGTGCAACTTAATGTATTATATAGCTTCTCTCGAGCGGCCGCCACTTCCAAGGCCTCGGAGGCGGTAGATACCACAAGACGAGATCTGCCGGCAGCAGCCGACTGGTCCTCACACGCAACATTCAATTGTTCTTTTATCGATGCCAGCAGACAGATACCTGGGGTAAGTTCGTGGCCCAGCTCTTTGCATAAAGGAGCGGCTTCCAAATCTCATGTTCTTTGGTCACATATTGGTTTATGTGCATGCAAAATTTTATTACAGACATAACATATGCAGAACTATAGTGTTATTTAATATCCAGAAGCTAAATATGCTAAAGTCTAAGAATCGTATGCGGTCTGGTAAGTACAGTACGTTAAATACCCGGTGTCTTGAGGAGAAAACAACCGTGTTTTATCGCCGTAAAGTAAACTACGCGTAGCCGAATGCTCAGTTTCTTTCAAAGTTTATTGCTTGCGGCTAAGCTCAGATGCCAATTCGCTTAAAAACCGATTTTATGCCGATTTCAACGGTAGAAAGGCTGTGTGCACCGCAAACAGGCCTCGTTTTTTCATTCAATTTTTTTAAGAGTTTCAGTGTTTTGACGTGTGGGCTGTCTATGCTATGTTCAGGTGGCTCTTGAATATCCTACCAAAATATGCGACGCGCGGAAAGATACACTTGCTCTGGAAACGATCCTGCCACTTTTTTCAAAACAGTCGGAGTGCCGGCGGTCAGCCCGCGAAGGGTTGCATTCGATGACGTGCAGACACCTCGATCATGTATGCTGCCGAAAGCGTAGCCCTCAAGAGCAGCGCATCATGTTGAATGTTTTAAGACTCTAATTTGAGAAAGGAGAGTGGTCGAGAACAAAACTTCCCGGCTTTGACAACGCTTCCCCAAAGGTTCGGGCAAAGACACGAGCGAAACCAGACAAATCATAAGTTCCGAAATCAGTGCGATCGGTGCCCCCCCCCCCCCCCCCTCTCCCAAAAACAAAAAAAAACTGAAAGAAACAATTTTCGGGGTGAGGCAAGATGGCTGCGCACTGGTTCGCCATACTTGGCCCAGTTGGCCATCTTTCATCCATCCATCCATCCAACACAAGGCCGCGCGCCGCGCAGGCGCAGAGGTCGCGAGGAGGTGCAGCTGGCGGAGCCAGGAGCTGGGAGAGCGAGCTGTCGACGAAACGTCGCAACATCTGTCGATGAAACGAGCGGGTGCTTGTTTCCACGAAACGATCTGTCGATGAAACATCGCAGTGTCGACGAAACGATTTGTCCATGAAACGTCGTTCGACGAACTGATTGCCACCGGTCCTGTCCCTCTCTCGTGTTTCGTGCAAGTTGTTTTCGAGATGTTTAAAACTTGCTGTGCTGTACGAGTTTATTCTTTCGTTCCCCTCTGAAAAGTGCTTTCAAAGTGGTAGTTTGTGATGTCGTATACAGAGCTCTTTTGTTCTGCAGGTGCACAATCCCCAAAAAGCTTGCACACCAACTGCACTGATCAAAGCTATGCAACTCAGAGTACTCCTGGAGAAGTGGCAATCAGTTCATTGCATGACGGTTCATCGACAGCTCAGATTACCTTTTTTTCTGTAATAAGCTGCATGAGACGGTCACTGCGACAGTCCCATGCAGTGTCGGTAAGGTGGGTTAACATTTTTGTAATGAGCCGCCGCGAAGCGGCGTGAACGCAGGCAGGCAGGCTTGTGGGTGGGTTAATACATACCCCAGTGATACACGCAAGACCAAATGTCCCTACAGCATGCAATTCGCATAACAAGCATCAATGAAACGATTGTGTTGACAAAACGTGTCCATGAAAAGTTGTCCACGAAACATAATTTTACGAAGCGAGTTTCGATGAAATGAAAGGGACCCTTTATGGAGTGGCATGCGCTGTGTAGCCGGAAACCCATATTTGACGTCATAAACGGTGAATGTGAAACATGGCTACCTTGCGTTTGCCAACAATTTTGCACCAAATAATTGTCATATTTGGATTCATGGGGTAAAACCAGGCAAGAATTGACCTCCAACTACATTTTAGGAACCACTTCAGCTTTCTTTAAGCCATGTTACTTTACAAGCATGACTTTCACATCAGGACATCAACAGGATCGCCTCCTAAAGCACACCTCTGCATGGGAATAGCCATACTTCCAGTGTATATACCTTATAACATCCTGAAGGAGTATTTTACCACATGCAATTCATTTAGCACTGAATTGTTTGTGTGGTAACATACTTCCTCGTTACGTTAGGTCGAGAAAGAGTTGAATGAATGTCCGAGCCCTTTTTAAGACAAAATAGAATGTCAATTTTTATTCCTCGAGCCAACACTTGTTCTCGTGCACTGACGCTAAAGCTTGTGGATAGTGTTGCAAGTCGTGTTGCAAGTTGCACCAGGGAACGGTGACACTATAGCAAGGTAGAACAAGAGGTTTAATATGGCGATCGGCTCAGAGCCAGGTACGTTCTAGCCACGGGTGCAAGGCGCGAGCTCATGCGCACGATCCGCGGAGCTCTATCTGCTCGGCTGCTCAGTGTAGCCAACATCTCTCCCATACAGAAGAGTCAAAGTCTCTGGGGAGCCTTGACGCATCGGCCACTTCTCGTGTGTGAATGAAGATTGCCTTCACATTCTGTACGTGGCTCTTGAGCATCTTCGCTGTCAACAACTTCCGCATCCCACTTCTGACACCATGTTGCAAGTCGTGTTGCAAGTTGCGCCAGGAAAGGTGACACAATAGCAAGGTAGAAGAAGAGGTTTAATATGGCGATCGGCTCAGAGCCGGGTACGTTCTAGCCACGGGCGCAAGGCACGAGTTCATGCGCACGAGCCGCGGAGCTCTATCTGCTCGGCTGCTCAGTGTAAGCTTAAGCACATAACCTTAAGCACATAAGCTTAAGCACAAACCTGACACACCTGATTGTAGCGGCTTTGGCCGTTGCCACAGGTATGTATGATGGGAGTATGGCTACCTGGGGAGTGAAGTAGAGGGGTCACAGTGTTACCCTAGTATCCCGGGAGATAGCCCACCTAAAATCAAGAAAAAAATGGCTCAAATTAAGGAGTGGGCTCACTTGCAGTGTAAAGCAATAATAGCTCTACTTGCCAGTCGGCAATGGTTCATTATATCTTGCCGTAGCTAACTCGACACAATAACTAGACACATGATATCCCCAATAGCTAACTAAAAGAAAAAAAAGCAAATGAAGCCAAAAACTGGGGTGGCTTACCTTTCGAGGCTGGGGCATCTCTCAGAATTTTACGGTAAGCATATATCTCACGTCTACAGTTTACATGGTACCAACACACTAGGGTTTTTCAGCTGCTCTTGTGACTGCCACTATAATGAGACTTGACTCTTTTCTAGGGGTGTATGAATACTTTAATATCGGAATACAAATCAAATAGTAAGCTCTCGGATAAATCGATTCGCGAATAAAATTCTTAGTGTTTGGTTAACCGTAGATTTAAAGTGTTCTGTGAAAGATGCGCGGTCCACACGGAGCAAAAGAAACTTGTGCTCCCTCTCCGTTGTAGTGCGCACTTGCATTGAACTTATGAATATGCAAAACATATTTTAGTATGTGTTTTTTTTTTTCCTCCCGTCACTCACATAGCAGGTGCACTTGCAAACACCACACATGTGGGGGGCAGTGAACCTGTTCTTGCAGACCGTAGTGTTTTGGAGTGCACCTACTATGTGGGCATTGGAAGCACGAAAAAAACCATGGACTGCATGCTACAGCTAAAAGTCTGATTGGGATGTACATTTAGTGAAACGAACAAGATGTTTTGAAGCAGTGGAGTATATGATGTGACTGACATACCACTCTTAATTCAGGCCATTTCATTTTAAGCTTTCTTTCTTCTCTGCCTGCCAGAATTCAGTGACTGGGGGGAGGCTAGGGATGGCAGAGAGCATGTTCGCTTCATTCTCCACGACGGACCCAAGGGACGAGATGAGGGTGTCCTGAAAAGGTATTACTACTGCCACCGCTCTGGATCATTTCAGAGCAAGAGGTAAATTACAACTGAGAACCCAGGGCACTTGTAAGACTAATGTGCAATGCTTAGCCACAATTCAAGCTACAGGGAAAGATGGCAAGGTGACAGTAGAGTACCAGGCAGAACACTACGGCCACCCGAAGGAACTGAAGCACCAGCGCCTCTTTACGACTGAGGAGGAGGCTTTAGCTGATAAACTAAAGCAAGGCATCCCCACCCTTAAAGATCTGGTAGACGCACATTCTTCTGCTGGCAGTGAGATGGGCAGGCTACATTTACTCTCAATGAAAGACATTGGCAACATCTCCGTCAAGCATGAAATTCTGACGAAAGAGCTACGGCACTGAACAAAGTCAGATTCTTCAGTCCTGTACTGACATGGAGGAAGGAAAACAAAAAGAGAGCTTTGAGCTTGCCCTGATGACTGTCCCTCAGAAAGAACGCCTCACAAAGCTTGGCCCCAAGTTTCTGTGCATTGACTACACTCATAATATAAATGGCCACAATCTGCAACTGAACACTCATGACAGCTGCAGAAGATCAGTCAGGCATGCCATGCACATATTTGATCTCAAAGTAACTAGGCACCAAGGCTATGAAACGCTCCTTAAAGCCATAAAGGTAATGCATGGGAGGAAGCGATGGGCTGTGCCCAACATTGGATGCTCTGCTCGTGGCATGTAAGCCACAACTGGGCTCTGAAGTTGCAGTCAGTCCAAGATATAAGCAAACCCGTGACCGTCTTTGCGACGAGTTGTGGGCGCTGAGAAATTGCAAATATGAGGGTCAATTCCAACGAGCTCCGACAGGCTTCCCGTGTCAGAAACTAAGTGAAGAGACTGATCCAAAACTAATTCAACAAGTACACGAGTTTCTTCAGTACTTCGGGCACTACCACGGTGGCAGAGCCTAACAGTGGGTGCTCTGCTTCAGAAAGGGCATTCCTTTTAATACTACGAACCTTTTGGAGGCAATGTACAAGGACCTGAAGTCACGCTACATGCATGGAACTCACAACCAGAGGCTCGACAAGCTGTTGATGGTCCTCTTCGAACTGAGCCGTGACCGGCTTTACAAGCGTCCCAAGTCGCTCTTAAAAGGAAAAACGAATCGGCATGATGCAGCCCTTTTTCGGAGGCACCAGGAGGGGATGAAAATTCCAGGATCAGATGTAGAACATCTGCAAAATGGCAATGGCTGGCTTGTAAAGTCTCAGTCCCAGACAGAGAGAAGCTACCATGTTGAGAAGGGCGACCCCCGCCAGAGTTGCGTGCTTTGTTGCAGGGACTGTGACATCTTTATCAACAGTTACAAGTGCACTTGCAATGACAGCCTGATTTCATCATCGATGTGCAAGCATATTCACGCAGTAGCTTACCTGGGGCTTCATGTGACGACCGTGGAGGAGACCGACACTGAGGCAGGTGTAGAAATGCCATCAACAACACGTGAAGCAACAGGCTTTACGTTAGATGATGAGCCACAGTCCCTCTTGGATGACATTCGGCAGGGTATTGAGGTAGGGATGGAGAAGACTCAACCAAATTCAGAGGACAACATATGTTTAACAATAAGTGGACTGAACAAGTCCCTCTCCAGGAAGAAATTGACAAGCTCCCTGGTGTTGAAATACCATACCAAGGCCCAGGAAGTACTTGACTCTGTTCCAGATGAGACTTCTCCAAAACCTAGGGTAATCCCTCACAACAAAAAGATGAAAAAACAACCACGGTACTTTCCCCCCAAAAAACGCCCTGGTTCTGGTCCCATGCATGGCAAACCTCCCACCAGCTTGGAGCAGCAGCACATCATGTAGGGCCTTGTAGCCAGGTGAGTTCCTACGGAAGGAGCAGCATCCGCTCAGCTCCATGTGAATGTTCCAAGCATGTCTTTGCTGGCCCTCGAGGAGCATGACTACTTTGCAAATCAGTAGTCGTGACAATTGGACTACAAAAAAGGGGCAGTATTCTTCTTGCAAAAAGGAATGGCGTGTTGGACAGCTTGGACTTCTTTCCACTTTGGAGAATGTCACGAGAGGCTCGAGCTAAAGGCAAGAGGGGCATCTCTTACAGGTTACGTTAGGCGACGCATTATATGCTGACCTTAATCGTAACGCTTTTTTAACAACCAGGGATTGGCAATTTTATTTCAGTTGATACGGAACGGTTGTCTCTAAATTAACGGGCAACCATAGTGCCTCGAAATGCTCGTTTATAAGCGTGCCCCTCGCTGAAACCGGCACTTCTTTTTTAGATAGTATTACTGCACGAGAATGTGCAGCTTTTTCCGCTTTGGAGAATGTCAAGAGGTGCTCGAGCTCGCCATTCTCCAACAGGTGGCTTATGTTATCAGCTGGTCTTAATTGGAAAAGTGTTTTAAAGGCCAGAGCTTGCCAATTTAATTTCAAATTTATGCAGACAGGTTACCTCTAAGTTAATGTGTAACCATAATACCTCAAGTTGCCTGTTACATGCTTATTTTTTATTTTGCATACTGCTGCACGGGAATGTGAAAGTTGCAGTTCCCGCAACATACCAAATTATTTTAGTATGTGACTTATATGCTTTAGGATATAATGGTTTTCTTGCTAATGAGTGCCTATAATCACTGTTTCATTGTTTTGTGAGCCAAGAGGGAGTGACCACTGGCAACCCAAGCATGAGGGTCTGCTACAGGAAGCATAATCATATAAGTCGGCCCTGTGTGCACGGGATAGTTCGTAACGGGCTAGGCGAGATTCAATTGCCAGCATTTTAAAAAGCGATAACTCAGAGGAGAGTAAAAGTACAAGCAAGCTGGTGAATTGCAGACGAAAAACTGAAACACCGGAAGGAAAAAGGACACGAAAAAAAGGATGACACACACACACCGTCTCGAACACAGCTGAAGGTTTATTCTAAAACCACACCCTTTTATAACGGTACACAACTGTCAACGCCAAGAACCCTCACACCAAGTCACACACCCAGACTGTCAGCAAGAGCAAACAAAAGAAATGCACTCGACGCTTCCATACGTGCCAAGGTCAAGCAACTGACAAAAAAAAAATTGCATTGGTCAAAAAGTTTGTACTTGCTTGTGAATCACCATCGACGAGACACTTACACAATTTCCAGCAGAACCAATACTAAGAGTTTCTTCTACCACGTGTTTGAACTGATCTCGCTTGGCTTATCACCGTGGTGGCCATCCAATTCGGATGACAACTGTTGCAAACTTGTAAATGTACTACAGTTTCTGAATTTGGGGATTACAGGAGAACACACCTTTTGTGCTCCATGATTTGCTCATTAACATAACATCCAGTTTAAACTATGTATGAAAACCCAGATGCCAAAGGAATATTATAAACACTACCATATTGACATTCAGTGGCAGTATTCCTATGTGTTTCCCCGCAAACTTTTTCTACCTCTTGTGAAAAGAGTCGACCTACTTTATCTGAAGTCTTCAGAAGCACATTCTCATGGTCACTCTCGTCGTCGTCTGAGGCCGTCTTGTCTTCACAGGCAATGTGAGACTCACTCTGAAGAAAAATTCGGGATCTTCAGCATCGCTGCCGTCCGAACTGCTGCAAGAAACAGCTCTTTTTCTGGGGACCATCACCGCCATTAGCATTCCTCATGCGTGTCGCCATTTTTAAATTCATGTTGCCAGGCCAACAACTGCTGTCAGGCTAAACACATTGCAAAAGTGCAAAACGGTCTGTTTTTTTCTAGCACCTTTTTAGGTTGAAAATAGAAACCGAAACCAATTTTTGAACGTAACTTGTCTTTGACGCAGAGAGCAGCACAGCATGAGGGTGGACGAATGACTCGTCATTGGTGATATTTGTACAAACTAATAATGTGCACAGCTCGGACCAATGTAATTTAGCACACAGGTGGAATATAATTGTGACATTGTCTGTCCCTTTTTTTCCCCTTTTAGAGCGCAGCCGGGAACGGGCTTAGGGGCCCGTTCCCGGCTTGAGCGGCGTCGCCGTCGGCGTAACCAAGGTCATCCCAAGGTCACGTGACACCCAAAGTCATGTGGCTCCCTAAGTCACGTGACCCCCGATGACGTCATCAGTGATGATGACGATGCGGATGCCGGTGACGTCACTGATGACGTCATCGGGGGTCACGTGACCCCAGGGGTAACGTGACTTGGGGACCCACGTGACTTTGGGTCTCGCGTGCCCCTGCGTGTCACGTGACCTTGGGGAGTCACGTGACCCTTGGGGAGGGGTCACGTCATCAGTGCCGGTGACGTCACTGATGACGTCACCGGCACCCGCATCGTCATCATCAGTGATGACGTCATCAGTGACGTCACTGATGACGTCACCGGCATCCGCATCGTCATCATCACTGATGATGTCACCGGCATCCGCATCGTCATCATCGCTGATGACGTCATCAGTGACGTCACTGATGACGTCACCGGCATCCGCATCGTCATCATTGATGACGTCACCGGCATCCGCATCATCATCATCACTGATGACGTCATCAGTGACGTCACTGATGACGTCATCGTTACTGATGACGTCATCGGCTTCGTCACGTGACCCCCCCCCCCAAGGTCACTTGACCCCCCCAGTACCCTTCCCTCCTCCTCCTCAAGAGCTGCGCTCTAATTCGGCGTTACAGGGAGTTGTAAACGGCTTTCACGTTTTTTTTTTTACCACAGTCCACAGTCTTTTTTGACCAAAGTGTCAACCGTCAACTTGCCTGCACTAAAACTTTTTTTTTCAATAAAATTGGCAATTTCTAGCTATATTATTGAACAGAGCTCACCTTAGTAAAAAATAAAAGAGAAAAAAAAAACTTTTGTCTGTAGTTTACGTGTGAAAACCAAATTACATTTTAGGCCACTGTCTATTTTGGCAAAGGGAGGCAGATAATACATAAGCCAAGTTTACTTCCTTCCCATTCCCTCATTTTTTTAGTCGTAATAAATGCCACGGTGGCCCAAAAGGCTGTTTGATGATATTGTGCCAAAAGGAGTGGGCAATCACCCATAAAAAGTGCTGTTTCCTTAGGTTTGGGGGGCTCAAACTTTTATATAATTACTGCACCATCTAGATGACTTCTGTAGTAAATCGTAGCACGATAGGTCAAGATAGCAATTTATGCGGTTCCTTCAAAGGGTTATGCGCATTTATACTTGTGCTGTATTTTTACAGATCAAGAGACTTGTATGACTGAATCATGCCAGCTGTGTACTAACTTGTTGAAGGCGCCACATAAATGACAACATAAGCCATTGACTTTAGTGGCACCAACTTTTTGTCAAAGTGCCCATTAGAATTGTCAAAGGCAACGCTATCAACGCAGTTTGTCTGTACCACTGCCGTTCAAATTCCGGTAGCTAGCCCAAATAGTCTAGCATCACATACGAGGTTCGTTGGCAGAAAATGCAAGAACAAATGAAGTTCAGGCACCTTGTACAGCCTCACCAACAAATGTAGACCACATACTGCAATGGCAAAAACACAGAGCTCGGCCGCTTCTGTCCACATACCTTCTGCGCGTGCGCGGGTTTCCCGTTGTGTTGATAAACAAAGCACGCCGCACGTCGATGTATACACTCTGCCAATTTGTAATTTATATGATGAAGATTTCTACAAAACTAAAACATATTGGCTGTTGCTGAATTGTGCCAAAACATAAAGGGTGATTTCAAATAAGATCGATCAAGGGGTGGCTGGTCGACATTTTCAATTCAATTGATATTTTTCTGTCATTGCTTAATATCCCGTGTTTGCAACTCCAACGCCCCATACGTGGCAAGGCGGTACTTCCAGGATGGCAGAAGAGACGAAGATAGATTCTCCAGGATTTCACGTGCACCTGCTTGTTCACGCTTGTCGCTGCGCTAAAAATGACTCATTTGTGTACAAATGTGAAGCAGTTAGGGCAGGATCATATTACAGGTGACAGAGATATTGATGCGTGGTAGAAAAGCGAGCATACTGATATTTAAAAGTTGGAGAAACCCCAACTTCCGAAGCTTTGTGGTGTGTGAGCGCGTTTTAGACACCAACCACGTCACTGTTTGTGGCAACATATTTTGGAGGGTGATGAAGGTACTGTGTTTGCGCTTTGCCTGGCCATTAGTGCTCTAAAAAGTGAGCCGTGCACGGTGACCATCAAGCTCCAGAACAGCAGCGTTCACAGTATTGATGTCTTCGTGTCACAGGCTCGCAACTCGCTGCTCACCTTCTAGGTTTTAGTGTATTGCAACACATGGATCAAACGGCTGTATGGTTATTGATAGGAAGTTTGTTACCGCAGGCTACCTTGCGGTGTAGCATTGCAACCGGAAGCTCGCACTGCGCCTTTCAAGAACAATTTTCAGCTCACGCTGGAGCGTTGCCGTGCTCACGGTAGCATGTCGTAACGCTATGCTGAAACTGTCTATTAACATAATTGGGGTGTTTAGGGGTTGTATTTCTTGCTCTATCAAAAATTTATATTTTAATATATCATACATTTTTTTGTACCGTGTTGCAACGTTGCTGTCCCTCGGCAAAACTGCCCATTCTAAGCTCTCTTCAACGTTACTAGATTACCTCAGTTGTGGAACTCTCGTAGAAGGGGGTACCCCCCCTCACTCGCTTCAATCCGCCTCCCGTCATTATTCGAAGCGCCATCTAGATTTTCGTTTACGAACTGTGTGCTCCATAGAGTGCTGTGGAACTCTATTTAGACGCTGAGCTTCAAAACACATGTATTCCGTAAAATACACTGCAGTTACCATAGCAGCCATGTCCATTTATTGTTGTAACTCAATATATAGGCTCCTAAAAAAAACCTGAAACCACATTCAAGAGCAGCCGATTTCCCTAATAAAAGTACATTCAAAGATTTTTCCGCGCCTCTCTTTCTGCATTGTGGTGCAGTACACTAGAGGGTGCCACCAGACAGGAAGGCAGCAGGGGAAGGCACATGACAGTAAATCACGAGTGACGGTTCCCCGGCGGACTGACTTTTCGAAGGCGCGCATGGTGGCACCCCCTGGTGTTCTGCGCCATGGCGCAGAAAGAGGGGCATGGCGCAATCTTTGATTGGACTTTCAATGGGGAAATCGGCCAGCCTTGAATTTAATTTTGGGTTTTTTAGGATGCTTAGAGCTTATAGATTGAGTTACGACAATAGACGGTATCAGAATCCACTTGAGTGTCCCTTTAACAAAATAATTTGTAATGGTTACACCCACCATGTCTAAATAATTTTCTTTGTTTCTGATTGATTGTTTCTAAAAAGTATTAGTCTTCTCCTGGTGTTATTGTTTTAGTTATTTAATTTTAAAGATGCCTGCTCCAATAGTGCGCGTGATTGCGACCGTCTACCTTTATGTGATCTAAGATTTCTCGTGCGCCCAGATTCTTTTTCTGATGAAAAATAAACATGTTTATTTACACCGGACAATAAAAATATCAGTTGACTTGAAAATGTTGACCAGCCATCCTTTGGTCAGTCTTATCCCAAAATCACCCTTAAATTGTCCAAAACTGCACCAAAATACCTCCAGAACATTTTTTTTTTTTTTTAATTTTTTTTTTTATATAATAAGTTTTTGCTGCGATACATGTTTTACTTTAATGTGGAATTTTCTGCTCCTAAGCTGCTCCAAAATGTACATGTTCTCCTCTTGAGCTGCTCCGAAAATTTTTTACAGAATTTGTTTTAACTGTCTTACTTAGTCATGGGCAGTAGCTATACTCGGGCTTACCTTAAAAGGACACTGCACCCCCCCCCCCCTCCAATTTTTTTTTTTGTTTTTTTTTCATTTTTTGCCAGGCGTTTGAATACTATTTAAGTAATACTTTGCTACAGAGAAGACATAATTCACCGACACCGTGAACGACAGCTCTGAAGTAGAGGTTCCACGCCCGTTGTCCGCGAGTCCCACGAAACGTGAAACGACGCCATGTTGAGAATTATGCAGTGAACGCACAGAATGCTTCCAATTGTCTGTGCAACATTTTTTTTTTTTTTCAATCGACGCATTTGCAGCTTTTTGGAAGCCACCAAAAATGTTTCATTTTTTTTTCTACTTTTAGGATTCACTGTGTGCCTTCAATGACCCACGACTTTGATTAAATTTGGTGGTCTTGTCTGAACCTTAGAAAACTGCCTTGGAAAAGAGAGTGAGTGCGACTTGATCGGCAGTTTTCGGGCGAAAAGAAACCGAATTTCGAGCTGCAAATTTTGTTCTAGGCAGTTTGGCTCTCATATGTCACATAAAACTAAAAACCTCGGCGAGCATAAATACCGTCTGAGTGTCCCTTTAAAGGGTCCCTGAAAAGAAAAGATTTTTTTAAACAGTCTGGTTGGGACACGCAAGTCAAAAATCAAATCTTATGCGAAAAAAGAAAATTTTTTTTCTAGAGCAATATTGACGGCGGGAGTTTATTTGAAATTTTGCGTGCAAAGCCCATGAAGTCACGGGTCATTCCGGAATGACCATCTCGGTCGTGAAGGCAAAGCCGGTCCATCTCTACTCCATGTGCCCAAAATGCCAAGAGAAAACAAGTGGAAAGGAGGTAACTGCCGACTAAATGGCGTCTTGTGCCGTCATTATTGGTCTAAACAAATTTTTTTCGCATAAACTAATCTTTTGACACGCGTGTCCCAGCCAGACTGTTCAAAACTAACTTTTTTTTTTCTTCTTAGGGGCTCTTTAAGGTGGATTGCAGCAGATGCTACGAGCCAGCACAACTAATTCTGTGCTGAGTGTGTTGGGCGACCTTCCGGCTTGGCGCAGCAATGCACAATGTCACGTGACACTCTGGCCGGGCGTGATGGCTTCTAGCATCAGCTGCGGTCCATCTTAATGCGAAATGGAGTGTGATTACTAGTAATGCATTACCGGTCAGTTGTTACTTTTTCCAACAGCTTTGAACTGTAACGCGTTACTCTTTATTAGTGGTACTTTGTAACTGTAACACTTACTTTTTTATTGGATAACTGCAACTTTTAAAGTGATGTTCTTTAAAGCCAAGTTCCATGTTCTTTAAATCCAAAAAAGAGGGGGGGGGGGGTTGCTGTTTATTCTTTTCTTGCAAATTTGATGTTATTCGTTGTCTATTTTTGCTGTTGACCGGAATGCATGCAGGGTTTCTCAGGGCTTGTGTCATAGGAGTGACAGCATATCTATAAGACCCATGGAGTGCTAAATGGCACATGTAGAAACACTTTTCAAAGGAGGAAGCAGCCTTGCAAGCAGATCAGTGTAGTCTGTGTTCTAGAGAACACGAAATGAAGATGTCAAAACAGGTTGTTTGTTGTAAAACTGGTGTTTTTCTTGTTAAAAAAAAACTTGAATTTCTTATTTGCTCTTTTCCACCGATTTTGAAAAACACTTTTTAAGGGTTACTTTTCAGTGTTTGCCGTCATACCAAAAACCTAGAACTTTACCTATAGTACATTGCTTTAAAATAACCTTGTAAGCCACCCAGGGGTGTTGCCGTTTTGGTGCCTGCCACCTGAGCCTTTTTTTCCCTGAACACTCATCATAGGTTAATTCTAGCTCTCAAGGAGGGAAGCACCTTCAATCTGTTGAAAATGCCAAAGTATGACAGGTGAGCAGCAGGTAACAAGTGGTGAAGATTGCTCATCTGGACAGAATGTTTTTGGAGTCGAAATCGAGAGAAACATTTTTATTAGGTTTTCATTTGGCTGCCCTTGCAACAAAAAGCTTTTTAACCTTACCTTGATCTTGTGTTAAACAATGAAGCTATTTGTACTGGACCCAGTGAAGTATATGTGATTGAATAGAGCTGGAGCCATTGGAATGGGAAGGTCAAAGTCCTGTGTAATTCAGTTCACTGACCATTGCAAGAAAATGTAGCATCCGCTGGTGGATTCTGTGACCTTTTGCTACAGCAATTATTGATTATGTGCAGGTACCTGGACCTCGAGACCGGTGACCTAGGAGATGTCAGCAAGGCTACAGGGTGATTTGCTCACCGCGAGGCTGTGCAATTTAGTGGCATGGAACTAGTGCCTCATTTCGGAGATCTCCATGGCGAGTGAACAGTGGTGGGGCAAGAAGTTTATTGGAAGGTTTTGCCATGCCATGGTGATCAACATTCATGACAGGTTCATCTGCCAAACTAGCTACGCAATAGAGGCAAGCCTGCTAAGTCACTGGGACATGGATGCATTAGTCGTCAGTGTGTGGCGCAGAGGACTTCTAGGGATAAGTCCAGGAGACGAACGTGCAATATTTATATTCTGTCTATATTTTGGTGAACCAATGTTACTGTTGACATTTAAGTAAAGGACATTTCACTTGTGCGGCAAAAGATATGTCAGGTGTGTAATGGGGTCCCACAAAAAATACCTATGCTTCGTCTTGAGCTATGTTCATAGAGACATGGCAAGGGGGGGCCAGAAGACTGATGAAAGTTGTGCCAGTGATGGTCGCAGTTTGGGAGATGATGCGGATGGCTATGTGATGGGGTGCTGTTACCTTTGATGGACAACTGTTTCACTGAGTCAAACTGTGGCAGTGTTTCTGCTCTCTTGAGAGGCAGCATGGTAACGCATAAACACAGTGACAGATTTTACTTTAAACTCAAAATGGGGCACAGCAATAAAACACTTGCTTGCCTCATCGAGGCACGTCTTCAAATGTAAACTAATATGTTGTCTTTTCAGTACCACCTTTTCTTTTCTTTTTTTTTCATACTTTTTTTTATGTCTAGGCAAAAGAAAAGAATCATGTTAAGGTCCGTTCACACTCTTGCAACCGAGTACGACCGAAAGAGACGAGACCGGTTTGTAAGCCTTTTCGGACCTCTTAGGACCGGACGCGCTGCAGTGGAGCTGGTCCTAAGACGAGACTTGTTAAAACCTCTTAAAATTTCTTGGGACGAGAGAACACGCTTTGTAATTTTCCAGGAAAAAACCGACCCGTGGAATACACCTTTGACGAAAAGTTTCGATTGCTACGTGCAGGCGTCGATTTTTACAGTCCATTTTAGATCGAGCCTGGCGGCTTAGACCACCCTTTATTTGTAAAAGGTTCATAAAATTGTTCACTGCAAACGCATATCACCAATCTTAATAATTAATTAGTCATATTTTGACCAGTGGAAAAACCACATCTTTATTTTCACTCGATTTGGGTATGTTTACGATAAATATTGAGCGAGTAAAGTACAATTAAAAAATTGGGTTTGTAGAACAAGTAATAAATAACGGGCCAATTGGTTACGGACGCTAGCAATTGACTCCGTAAGTGTGACGTCATGAGTCCAAACAAACCGTTGCTAGGGTCGATGTTGACAAATACATGTGGCTAGGTTTCGCTACGAAAACCCGACTGTTCAAAAATCAGGAGTAGGATTTAAACTTCTAAAATTCACAGATATAGAAAACTTGAATGTCTTGTATGTTTAGACAGAAGTGTGCAAATAATCGCTTGTTTCTGGAATATTTTCAACTGCAACTTCCGGTCCTCAAGATGCCTGCAGCGGACTACGAATACAAGAAGTATGCCGTCTGCCACAAACTGGCGCCATCGTTTGAATCGTGTGAATAAAGACTATATTCTGATATTGTATTTGTTTGAAATATAATGACTTTCAGACACTTATAAGAATTCATAGTGGGGTGCGATGCAAAATATGGTTTATTGAAAGTCCGGTCGTCGATCGAGATGATCGTCTGCTAAAAGACTGCATTGCACCTGAGAGAAAAGCACTTCAGGCAACCGGTTGAGATCCTAAATTTTTTTGGGGGGACTCGCGCTATGTGAAAGTGCTTCATAGCTGGTTGTAACCATCCCATGAAGAAAGGTTCTTGCAGTTTCTTCAGATTCCCGCAATACCCCAAAGCGTGAGAGAACTGGATAAAAACCATAAGGTGAGTACATGTAGCACTGGCGGACAGTTGCCTCGATGTAAAAAAAGGGCCAAACCAACCAAGAGCACGTAAAACCCATATTCTGTTCGGTCATATTGTTTGAAAATATGGCGGTATATTTATATCTTATTACTATAATATTGATAAAGTAGGTGCATGCAAGTAGTAGTGAGAGTAAAATCCAGATCAAACTTTCAGTAGTCTTAAAGGCCCGTTCACACTCTTGCGACCGAGAGAGACCAGACCGGTTTTTAAGCCTCTTGCGATCTCTTAGGACCAGCTCCGCTGCAACGCATCCCGTCCTAAGAGATCACAAGAGGCTTAAAAACCGGCCTGGTCTCTTGGTTTTCCTCGGTTGCAAGACTGAGCGGTGCTTAAGGCCTGTTCACTCTTGCAACCGAGTACAACTGAGAAAGACGAGACTTGTTAAAACCTCTTAAAATTTCTTGGGATGAGAGAACACACTGGCGCCATCTATGCGGCGACTTTGGAACTGCATTTAACAAGAGCGAAGGTTTTGCGGTATTTCCGAGGTCAAATATGCGTATTACCTATAAGAAAGGCTCGTTTATAACGTTGACAAAAGTTTTTCGAGCCAAGAAAGAAAGGATAATGCGCGACAAATAGAAAATATGCCGGACCGCCAAGTTTACACTGCTACGCAATAGATGGCGCCAGTGTGTCCTCTCATAAGAGGATTCAAGAAACCCAGTTTTAAGAAGCTGCAAGACTGAACGGGCCTTAAAGGGGTTATGACACGAAAATTAAACGGATAGATTATTCTTGAAATGGAATGCTCATAGACTACTTAGTATATACACCAAGTTACGCATTTTCTAGAGCTCTGATAATTGCAATATTCAATTTACGAATTTTTATCATTTTCATCTGGCGACCAGGCAACACTGCTCAAGTTAGTCACACCATGGTGTCCATAAACCACGTGACCATGAACACTCTCTCATTCTAGGCGCCCCCATGATCGCCCAAGCTCTTCTCGTCGCGGTACGAACAAAACCGCTCAAACAGCTCGGTAAACTGAAAGCTATTCTCGCTCTCGCCCCCCGTCCAGTTGACCTTCCAGCCTGCATGCGCCTGCGAGACATTCCCGGACGACGGTGACCACGGCGAACTCGTCGTCGCTGGAGCTCGTCGCCAGCGGGTCGCAGTCAAAATGAACAGCTCCAACATCTCTTGATAGCAATCACTCTCATCGCTGCTGCGATCAATGTCGAACACTTCGACAAGGCGATCGATGCCGTATACGTAATCGTCACAGACCGGATGCTGAAAACGTGGAAGGTAAACGAGGAAGCTGAGGCTCGATACGCCAAGAGAGCCAAGTCTGGGAGTGCGTGCAATTAGACAACACGATGGAGGCTGGCTACGTCATCAGCCTCCAGGCCCGCCCGGATCTGCCCCTCCGAGGGGCCCGCATATAAATCGATTTATCCACGAAATTATCGCTCCTTTTTCAAAACAAATTTAGCAGGATTATAGGAACATACAATGGTTCCTAGCAGTATAGTTATGTAATATTTTATTTTTGGCGTGTCATAACCCCTTTAACAATGTTATGGTAAAACGGCGTTGAGATGTATGCCTGTGTCCATGCGCTATCCGGTTATTTTGTTTATGCTTATATCTACCTTTAATGACTTTTTTTTTTCATTGTGCTCTTCATGTGTTCTCCTGTTTGGACTAGCTTTTTTAATTTAGTACAAGTCTCAATAATAATAACAATAATAAACGACTTCCCTCGAAGGTGTAAGATTGCTGGCCTGCACTACGCCGGTAATGCACCTCGGGTCTTTGTCGTAACTGATTTGCATGACGTGGGTAGATTTTACAGCATTTTTGCACCTCCGAACAAAACTATATTCTTCACAATAAAAAAAAAAAGGCACATTGCCGAAGTTTTTACGGTCATGATGATGCACTTGTTTTCGTCACTGATTTACAGAAGCAATTCAATGAAGATGCCCGCTGCAACAGAGGTAGGCCAGCAAATCTATTGTGTCGTCTGCTACCAAAGCAAAGCGGAATGGCTTTCCTCGTCGCAATACGACACAGAAACGACAAGAACATCTTCATAATTAGATATCAAGAAGTTAGATTGCTTACAAAAAATTTACTTGTAAGCAAAAGTTTAGCCTCATGTGGAGTCTGCATGCATTAGTCTATAGCAACGCCCCTAGCAACGGTTTGTTTGAACCCAAACGACATGTTGTGACAGTTTCCCCGCAGACGCTGGAAGCCTTTCAAACGAGAAAAAAAAAAAAAAACTCGTTTTTACCAGCTTGCAGCACGCTGAGGTGTCGTCTAACGTGCAGCTGTTGCACTGAAGCTTCCTGATCGCCTTGGAAATGGATTAAAAGTATGCTGTGTCTAAAGGTACGTCGGACGTATCTGGAACGAGGAGTCTAAAGGTACGTCGGACGTACCCGCAAGTTTGAGTCTAAAGATATGTCGGACTTATTGTAAGCACCCCAATTCTGTACAAGAAATTAGAGATCAGAGACATGCGATATCTGCTCTCCATCAAGGCCAAGCGTCTGAAACGTCGCTTGTTTCCTTTCCCCTTTTCTTTGCTCGTCTTATCCACGCTTTTAGTTTTGTTCCCACCTTTAGGTGCCGGCAGCACACCACCTTCTGGTCCCCAGCACTCGGTTTCGTCATCAGTTGGTAGACGGCGGCACACAACGGCACTTGCGCTACCGCGCAGGCGCTTTAGAATGTAGGCACAGGTAAGGCGTTGTGTGCTCTGTTTTTGTTTCGTCGCCGTTCGTTCGACTCCGTCGTCCGACTCGCAAGCGCACCTCGTTTTTGTTTTTGTTTACGTGGTTTAGCCCATATGTTCAGGCGTTCATAACTTTGCTGTCCACCATGAGTGCGAAGATTACTTCGTACACAGTGAAGTTAGAGCGAACGGTGATCAGGTATGCGAAAGGCAACGGTAACCACGGCACTGCAGAGCATCTGCGATACCGTGCGATACGGTGGAAAAGACAGCGGGTGTAGGTATTCAAGGGCGTCGCGATCCGTAAAAAGTGTTCGGGACGGTGCAATAATGCAAAAGTCGACATTTGGAAATTGAGAAGAAAATTCGTGAGTTTGTTTGCAGCTAACTGGACAGGGCCACCGAGGACTCGTCGAGTCGTACTGAGAGCAACTTTTTGACCGTGGTGCGCGGTGAGAATTGACGGCGAGCAGGTTAATTCTCGTCGGGGTTATTTTTATTTGTTCTGCGACTTTTTTCTTATGAATTTCCTATAATAAATTGATATTTCTTGCACAAATGTTGTAATTACGGAGCATTTCACGTAAGTAAGCACCCCCCCCCCCCTCGTTGCACATCGCGGGTGTGAAACGAAAGGAGTGCATAGAATGAACTAATTACAGTAGCAATGAGAAATAAAGCTGGAATAAAAATCGACAGTGGGGTCTCAGTGAGGCATGCTATGACCCGCTGTGATACGACCTTTCCCTACCGCGTCTACGTCCGACGCATCTCCCGGTTCCGCGCATGTCCGTCATGCATCTTAAAGACCCGTTCACACTCTTGCGACCTCTTAGAACCAAGTTCCTTGAAACCTCTTACGACGAGAAACCAAACTGGCGCCATCTATTGGGTAACAGTGTAAGCTTGGCGGTCCGGCATATTTTCTATTTCGCTCGCACATTATCCTTTCTTTCTTGGCTGGAAAAACTTTTGTCAACGCTATAAACAAGCCTTTCTCTTGGGTATTACACACATTTGACCTCGGAAATCCCGGAAAACCTTCTCTATTGTAAAACGCAGTTCCAGGGACACCGCATAGATGGCGCCAGCGTGCCAGTGTGTTCTCTTGTCCTCAGAAATTTAAAGAGATCTCGTCTCTCTCGGCCGTACTCGGTTGCAAGACTGGGAACGAGCCTTAAGGCTCCAGGGTTCGGATACGTCCGATGCACCTTTAGGCTCCTTGTTCCGGATACGCCCGACATACTTTTAGAGTCCTCGTTCCGGATACGTCCAACGTACCTTTAGACTCCTCGTTCCGGGTACGTCCGACACGTAGCTTTAGACACAGCGTTAAAAGTATTGCTACGTCTCACGCGTCCATCAGGTTGAAAACACGGTAGGTACCGGGAACCTGGGGTGCTATGTTGCGCTTTTTGCACTCCCAGGAGACTTGGAAGAGGGAAGTGACGTCAACGACTAGAGCAAATGCAGATTGGATGTTGACAGAAGAAAACAAAATCAACATCCAATCTGCATTTGCTGCGTTGTTGACGTCACTTCCCTCTTCCTAGTCTCCTGGGAGTGCAAAAAGCGCAACATAGCCCCCCTGAGCACCGGTATTAACGTGTCGGAACGCTTAAACGCCTGTCACCCGTCGTACCTAAGTAACTGAAAAAGAACAGTGATCATATTCAACTCGTCTACGTCCTAATAGGCGCCCGATTCGGTTAGAAAGTCTCAGCGCACCTCCCGCACTTGGTAGCTACGACCGCATAGTAGCTCAATATCGTAACGTGATAAGCGAAGCGCTTTCACGTAGCCGAATTGAGGTAAGAGATCTTCACTATCTTCAGTTTTAATTTAACGTTTCGAATAACCATGTTCCTCGCACAAGCTCCGAGGCCTGTACGCGTGGAATGCCCAATTCGGCTTCTTGAAACTAGTAGCTCCATACGACGGTGTAGATGTTCTTTTACAACGCCTACACACATGTAGATGTTACATGCTTACTGCAAAAGCTTGGTCTGCTGGGCAAGTTGGTAGTGGACATTCATATTAAAAATAGCGCAAAAGAGACGGGACAAAAAGACGAAGATGCACACAGGACAAACGCAGTTGTTTGTCCTGTGTGCGTTTGTCCTGTGTGCATCTTCGTCTTTTTGTACCGTCTCTTTTGCGCTATTTTTAATATGAATGCTTACTGCATTCGCGGGACACGGGTCTACTTACCGATCTCTGAGGGCTGTAGGTGCGACGACGAAGATAACAGCGGGGAAAGGCGTCATCAAAACTTAGAACGCAAGGAAAAAAAGGCATGGTGAACCGTTACAACATGGCGCCGGGACGTTTGTAAACATACTCTCGTTACCGTGCGCTGGTTCCCCGGTTTCGAAACAAAAATGCGTTTTGCATAGTTAAAATTATTTTCGCAACGTAGATAGCTTGATCATTTGAGTATATATATATTGTCATTTTTTCTTTAAGTTAAATTGAGAGCTTAATGACTTCGCAATGAAGCACACTCTCATACTCTCGCAGATCAGCATAGGTTTGCTTCACCGAAAGACACCGCTGTATTGCAGGGAAAGGTGCTCGCTGGCATTTGCACAGGTGAAAATGTCCTGTCCAAACACCCCTTCCGACAATACAGTAAATATGCACTGTTAAGGTACTGGTTGTGGGGGTGGCTTGTCTGTGGCCAGAAAGGCACACAGGTTCAGTTGAAAATGATTATTATGGGATAAAAATAATGGAAAGCAGCCTCAGACACAAGGATGAAGTAAAGGCACTAACACGACAAAACAACGGATGACCTTCAAGTGTAGTTTATTTTATGAAAAGGAAGCATTTTAGTCTTATTACATTAACACAAACACGCATGCCAACCAGGCAACTGGCAATCACAGGGATAGAGCCTCACAATGTGGCAGTGCTAAACTCCAATTTATGAATAAAGATTTTCTTCTTTTTTTTTTCACTTCGTTTTGTAGCAGAGGCTGTTTTCCATTATGATTAGTTTCGCTCTTACCAACTAGCCCAATCTACCACCCTACTTCAGCTCATTATGGGGGACTAGTTACACTTGAAGGATCTGCAATGGCAAGATGAATGCTAGCGAGTTCATTTCATTGCCAGAAAATTGATGGTGTTGTCTTAAATGGTAACAATGCACGCTCATGAGTGAACTGTGTGAGACCATCAAAGTGCAGGCAGTGACTCTACTTGATATCTGGGGACTGAAAACAACTGCCTCAGGCTACTCTTAGAGGGAACCATAGCGGTGATCAAGGAACCGGTACAGCAACACGAGCCCAGATTGCCTATGATATGTAGGTCTTCCATTCCCTTTGTAACAATATACAGGACACCAGATTTTGGGTCAGTACTTGTATTTAAGCATCGAAATACACGTAAAAATATATTCCTGGTCTCGCAATACATTCAAGGGAATAATGTATCCCATTACATTTTCAACTGGGCTTGCCATGTCATCGTCCCAACTACCGAAATAGTTATCTTCTCTAAATGCTTCATCAGCTTGCACAAGCAGCTGACACCAGTTGAGAACAAGCTAAAACGTTGTGAGGAGATACTTCGTAAAATGGCAGGACGGCGGCTTGTGATACTACAAAGCCAGTTTCCTTTAGACAATATAACATAAGATTATCATATCAACCAAGTATGCCTCCACTGTGTAGCCCTCGAGCTCGGTCGGGAATGCCAAGCTTCTTCGCTTTGCACTTGCACGCTCGCACAAAGCTCCACCGCTTCGCCCGACATGCTTGCATGAAGCTTCATACTTTAACACTACAGCACTATGGCAAAGCATCTTAATTTTTGCGGGGGGGGGGGTCAACATTTTGCAGACCTATTTTCAGACTTCGAAAATATTCAAAATTACCGAATAATCCTATTCGATTCAAAGTATGAATCGAATACGGCATTATTCTATTCAATATTTAAAAGTTATGAATATTTGCACAACCGTAGTCTTCAGCATTATTTACAATTTACAAGGAAGCTGGTATCATGTCTACATTTCAGGGATCTTTTGTTCAAATCGCGATTATATAAACTTTTCGACTTTGACCCAATGGAGACTACCCATCTGCACACTCCGCAAGGACAATTCACTGAGGCGGTCATTGGCCATCATTGATCGAAGTCTGTGTTATGTCAATTTGGGCCTACTGAGAGAGTGTTCACCCCTGAAGTTTGCAACCATAAAAAAATAAAAATCTAAAATGGGTACATGAACACCTAGAAATGAGCCTCGAAGCTTTTCTCAGACTACAGTTTTGGAATGTTTCTTACAGAAGCCTTCCTTTTTGGCAAATAAAAGAAACTGTTCTAGTTCATCGGGGAAATCGTCCGACAGACCAGATTTATCCATTGCCTGGAATCACCACTGTTTCAACGAAAGTGTGCCGTGGTCGGCAATAAAAAGTAAACTGTAGACAGACTTTGCTGTAAGCAGTGAAACAAGTTTTAAGTGAATGCAAAAGGTTGTCAATCATGCCAATATTGGTATCACAGTGGAAGTTCAGTGAGGCATCTTGAGGGTGAAGGTTGCCATTTGTGCCGATCGGTTTGCTTTCTTTTGATTGTTGCTTTGTATGTAGTTCCCAATGTTTCCTTCGCTGCCTGTTTCATTTCATAGAATCTTTCTCTTAGACCGGATACATAATCACTCAATAATTTCGTCAGGTTTACAGCTTTATTCAATGTGAGCGTCTGATTATGTAGCGTTCTTCTGATGGCATTGAAGCATCGCAACACCCTGTTCATGAACTAAGCTACAACTGTTGCAGTCATACCCATAGTCTTCAACCATAACCCATGTCTCTGCTAGTTCTTCCTAACCTTCAGACCCTCAAGGCGACCCTAATTTCCTGAGCGAACAGAGCTTCATAGCATCCGCTCGGGCTGACCACCACGTGTCTTGGAGTCGCATGGGCATGAATACCGTATCAATCCGTTTCAAATCAAGCCTGCAGAATATTCCGGCGAAGGGTAGACGCAGAAAAAAAATTTATATACGCTGTACGCAACGGTTAACACAGACCACTCTGCGTGTTCTGTGTCGAGCGCTCTCGTGCCAACGCCAGCTGCTTTTGATTCAGCAATGGCCAGCGGTTGTGATCAACCTGGCGTGTTCCGAAATTTACCCAATCTCACTTTAGAGTAACATTTTCATACCTTGGTGTTTGAAAACCTTTTTGCGTCCAGCGTTGCTCAGCTTGAAATGTCACGTGATATGACCCGCAGGAGTAGCTGGGATCCAGTCCAGTAAGGTTTGGAACACGCCCCCCGTGAGGGGGGGATCCCCTCACAGAGGGCCCTATTCATTTGAGCAGTTAAATATGGGTAATCTGGGCTTGCCCCTGAAGCGACAAAAGGAATATGGTGAAATGCTGGCCTGTTACATGCAGGCGCCAATTGTTCCGTTTGATTTTAATGCATTATCCGGCACCTTGACTCAATCTTTACAAACAAGTGTTCTCAAACTTTCTGGTGACAAGGAATCCTAGCAATCTTCAAAAGGTGCTGCACCAAGCACGTCATGCTTCGCACCATCGTGCTCACAAAAGTTTCAGTGCTTTGCTCCGCCACGCATGCATCACGCTTCACCGCTATACACCGGTGCGTTGCGGCGGTGTATAGCGGTGAAGAAATACTTTGAAAATATTTAAATTTGCCGAATACTCCTCACCAATTCAAAGTGCGAGTAGAATATGGTGTCATTCGCTTCAATATTCTGAATTTTAGAATATTTGTACAACCCTAAAATATGTCGTAAAGTAACGCTCAGGCACCCTCTACAAATCCGGAGATCATCGCAAAGAAGTGGGAGACGGGCACTTGATATGCTATCAATGTTATCTATATTTCCACTGTCCATATTTTTTTAGATGTTACAACATTTAGGGGTGGGCGCTTAGTGTGGAATCGGCGGATGCTCGGTATTTCATGGTATACATAGCATTTGAGTACAAATATACAGTTCCTCACTTTTCCATAAAAAAAATGAAATATATTTGGGTGCTTGCGGAATCCAAAAGACCAGCCTATGGAACCCGGTTTGGGAACCCCGGGTATGTAATCTGCACCAGTCTGTAAAGAGCTTCTGAAAGCAATTTTTAAGAAAATAAAATTGAACCATCTAGAATGGCCTAAGCTGAAAAAGGCTTCCAAATATTCTGTTTGTAGCATTCATAATTAGGCACTGAACTTTTCGCTTGATGCTTTGATTGACTTTGTTTCTTCTTATGGGAAAAAGTGCACATCAACAATGACACTCAGCGACATGGTTCGCAAGCTACCCAACCAATGGTGTGCGAGCCCCCCTATCAAGGACGGCGCCAAGGGAAGGCGAGGGGTGGCAAGCGCCTCCCCTAAAATTTCTTCTGCCACCCCAAGATGAAGCAGCTTTGTACACAAATAATTGCCTATGACGTCGGCTTGAAAACCCGATGTAATGAGTGTCCAGACTTTAGAGCTGTTCATGCCTTTTATTATTTATATATATATATTTTTTTTCTATTAACTTCCAGCCACTGCAAGTCGTACCGTGGGCGAGTAAGCTATCTAGCGCCTTAGAAAAAGCAGCTACCCTTTGCGACGCCTGCTGGCTTTTCTCTCCGCATTCCGCTGTGTGGCGCTTATCTTCAGCGGAGACCGGAGACGTGAACGAAGGGGAGCTTAGTTAAAGTCGAGGTCATGAGGAATTCCAGACTGTCTAAGAAAAGGAAGCAAAACCTGTTTGTGAGTCATGAGCACAGGGGCAGAGGTCAATGCTGTAATAACCCCCCCCCCCCCTCCCCGCCACTTCCTTCTCGTGTCTCCTCATTTCCCTTTTCAATGAGCACACCGCATAAGCTATAAGCTATCTTCGATAAGCCCGTGGGCGACGGCACCTCAGAGCAACCCTCCCCCCCAATTTGGTTGGCCTCCCCACTGCCCCCACCCATTATGAAGATGCTGGCGCCATCCCTGCCCCCTATAGTTAAAATGATATTAAAACAGCACAAAAAAAAAGACGAAGAGAACACAGACACAGCACTCACTTACAACTGAAAATTTTTCTTCTGCATGGTACAGTAAGTAAACATAAAAAGAAGCAGATAGATATTATTTCAAAATGACCAACCAACTAGCCCAACTACACAATTCGTTGCAGCCGTTCTATGGCCCTGAATTCGTTCCTTACCATGAGAAAAGTGATGATGTTTCAAGCATCTCTGCAGATCCCTTTATTTCTAAAGCTATTTGGCATATACCACAAAATCCCGAGGTATGTACTTCCCAGACAGCAACATTCACTTGTATCCCGCCACAGCTAACTAGCCGCATTTGTGCCAAATCCATCACTGATCCCAACACTGCTATTACTAGAAGTGGGCTATCTTTCAGAGTTTAAAAAAATAATGCAAATCAAGCCAAAAATAGGAGTGGGCTACCTTTTGAGATTTTACAGTAGAGCATCATGACACATCAAAATGCAGGCACTCAGATGCTCTTTAGAAATAAACAAACTGAATTAACGCATCAGAAAGGTTCTATTGGCTGGGATTGCACATAGGAGAAAAGGGACACTAACTGCCAAATTCACAAACCTTTATTCCAATGGAGGCAACCCCCCCCCCCCCCCCCCCACTTCTTCAAGGAAGGCACAAGGGACGGCACTGGCCAATCGCGAGGACGGCTAAGCAGCCTAGGCCGCCTATCCGTCGTCGCGACTGGCCAGCACCGGCCCTCGCACCTTCCTTGAGGAAGTGGAGGGGTGCCTCAATTGGAATGAGGTTTGTGAATTCGGCGGTAACTTAGCTAGTGCTAGGGTCCGGCAAATTGGAGACATACACCTCCCCACTGGCCACAGGCTCCACCTGTGGACTTTGAAACGTCAGAATGGGGTACAGCACCCACCAAGGATAGAATTACCATAAAGTTTTGCGAGTGCCTTGCCGAGCGCAAATGCAAGGCGCTGGATGCCGCGGACAAGGCACACGTTGTACTGGTCGGTAGCCAGCTTGTCGAGGTTGACAATGTTGCCTCGGTTGAGGAACAGGTGCTGAAACATCAGCGAATGAATCAATTAATAGCATAAAACAAAGCTGGGTTGTGACCACTCCTTGGAACCACACAGGACACATGTGTCTAACTTGGAAGCAGTCAATGAACATTATAGGTTTAGGTAGGGGTCAGTATTTTAGACCTAATTGTGCAGCTACTTTTTTGTGTGTGGATGTGTGCGTGCAGGGCGTGGGGGTTGTTAACTCATTGCAAATGTTTTATGGGGCTGGTTGCTCATTATTGGGGTCCACCTTTGTTTAGTCAGGGGAGGATCTAACTGTAAACACAGACATTAAAGGGGCCCTGCAATGACTTTTTTACTAATTTTTCATTTGCCCCAAACCTGAGCGCACTGAACGTAGTAACTTAGTGAAACTTTTCTTTTCTCGAAATTCCCTTTATTTTAAAAGTTATAGGCAAATTAAAATTACAGAAACAAGCAAAAAATAACCTCCCTCATGACATCCTTGGTTGCTTGAGAGTGGCCGTGAACTAGGGGAGAAGTAGTGAGCTCATCGAGCGCTCACGGCTGCCGCACTCCGAGTCGACGGCGCGAGAGGGCGCCATTGAAGCGTGTTCTGGATAGGCTGTATGCAGCGGGCAGCCAGAACGGCTCTCATTGCATTTGCTGCGCGATTAAATACTAATTCGGCATGACACTTCATTGGCCACCAACGACAGCAAACACGGGGTAAAGGTCAGTTCAGAACTGGAGCCACTTCGCGCTGCCATACCGCCAAAGGGCTAAATCGCCAGCCAAGCCCGCGCCGAGAGCCTTGGGAACGCTCGGAACCGGTCGGATCCTCGAGCCGGTATACGACCGCAGCGCCGCCGCGTACATCCGGGACCTTTCAGTGTCGGCGCCTGATCCCACTATTCCTTTCTAGTATGCGCTGCTTTTTCCACCGCTTGGTGGCGGGTATGTCGACCGGTCATTTCTTGTTTTCGTACTTTGTGAACTGAATTCGTTTCTTTTTTTATGTAAAATGATGAACAAAAACTACTTTTATAAATAACTGAAACGGTTCGCGCCACTTATATTTTGTATTTCGACTAAAAAGAAGCTTTTAGCGGCTCTGACCAGTAGTAAGCCCAGGACCAAAGACGTCACATTTTGCGCGCTTTCGGTACCGCGGGTCGCCCTCGTCGGTGGAGGAGGTTTCCGCGTCGTCCGGTTAAAATATGACGCACTGATATTTAGTTACTCTCTCCGTGCCCGCTGGCTTGCCCGAACCCCAAGAGACGTGAAAACCGCAAAAAGGGTGGACGCTTAAATATGATTGCAGGGCCCCTTTAAGGTGCAGTACTTGGGCTCGCCTTCTGAGTTAAATTTCTGTTTTCCTTCGGGACCGGTTCTCGTGTGCCAAGTTCACTGTGATTTTAAGAAGTGATTTGGACAGTTTCTTATCAAAAATGTTTCAGAACCTCCCAATGCATAGAGGCAGTTTCAAACTCTGCCAGAGTTTAAAACTGCCTTCTATACATGTTACTTTCACAAATGGTATACTCTTTTCTTAATCTATCTTGTTATATTCCTGACATATTTACCTATTTTTTGGATTTTCAAACTTTCAAGGAACTTACTGTCTACAACTGTATCCATCGCTGAGTGTTTATAAAAGAACAGGTGTAATAGAATACATTTCACTGAAAAAGAAAAAAGATAAATTTTCTGGTGTATATTAACTGATAAAAACCAAATATTGGATTTCGAAATAAAAACCGATAAATGTAGGTCAAATTCGAAAAAAAAAATAAAAAACGAAAACGCTGATCTTGTTTAGTGTTTTCGAAGTTAATTCTTTTTGCTCAAATTTGGGGGTATTTCTTTTTCGGTGTTTAATTTTTTCCCACAGATTCTGTGTTTTTTGTGTAAATTGGTTAAAATCATAACCAATTTACACAAAAAAAAACGAATCTGCAAAAAAAAATTACCCTCCCCCCCCCCCCCCCAAAAAAAAAAACAATTTGAGGAAAAAAAATACTCAGAAAACACAGAACCCAAGTTATCAGTAGGTTGTGACTTTCCAGTTTTAACCTAAAAATACTGAGAAACATCCGCCGATGACGAAAATGCAAAATTGGTTATAACAGAAAAACACAGTTTTTGGGGACGATTTGGCGCTAGGCGATAACTATTTTGGTTGAAACCCCGAATTCTAGGCATTTGCTGAGCCTGTTTTGCTACCAAGAATTAAGCAAACTGGGGTCTCCAATCAGTGGGATCGCTGACCCTGGAGGACAAGGGCCCGAGAGGTCAGTCAGACGGTTACTACCAACAGTCACAACGCCCTTGTTGATTCATGTCAGAGGACGGCAGATAAGAAAGCAACTTGTCCCAAACCAATTTTTTTTTCACCGATCATCTCTGTTTTTAGCGTCTACATCAGACAACAAGTCGAAAGCAGGGTTGTGCAGTATCGCAATACAAATGTATTGCAATAGTATTTCAGAAATACATATAGTGTCTGCAGTTCTCTATTGCAACACTTTTTTTTCACCAGTATCTGTATTTCTGTATCGACATGCATTTGGGATGTTTCTCGGTACCGCAATACAATCAAGATTGGATGTATTTCGTTACATTTCTTGAGAAATAACCCTCACCTCTGGATAAAAAAGATGACAATTTTTGTTTTGCTAGAGAAGGCCAGAGGGCATTATGAGGGGTATGTTGTGCCTTTGCTATCATGCGAACCTAGGTTTGACCGGAACTATTTGTGTCGGGCCTTAGAAACCCCTTTCTTCATTCTGCAAAACTGAAGAATGTTTTCCACCATGCTTCTGCCCCCCCTTCCCCCCCAAAAGAAAAAGTCTGGACGTCTTTTTTTTTTTTTAAAGGGACGCGGGGCATTGTTACTATGCTGACCAAGGTTCATTCCAATTCCCAGAAATATTTGTCAATGCGACCTCTTCTCTATTCTGCGAAGATTAGAAATGTGCTGTGAGTGGCACATTTCTTAATGAAAAAATGTGGTTCCCAGCTGTGAAAGCAATGTTTCTTTGATTTAATATGAACCTGTATTCCTCAACAACTGTTGAGCAGCTATTTCTTTTTCTTTTGCCAACATGACGTTGCGTTTGAATGGGCAATGGCTCACAGGTCGGCTATTTGAGAAGCTCCTACTCCTCAAGTGTAACTGAGTTTAGCAGTTGCATGTTTTTCTTTTGTATCGCTTCAGTGTAAAATAACAGACAAAGCAAGAATGATTTTTATTGCACCTCCCAACTAATTTGTTGCCTATGATATGACAGTTGGCACCTCAAGCAAATTGGAAAAATGTATTTCAGTATCTGTATTTCTGCCATCCCTAAGAGGTATTCCTGCATTTGTATTTCCAAATACGTTTTGCTCCTTGTTAAAATGCATTTCCGATGCATATCACAATACATTTTTACAGATATATTTAAGTATCACTATTTTTATGTATCCCAGCATTTGTATTTCCAAGTACATTAAGTATTTTGACCCAACCACCAAGACTATAATTTTTTGCTTCATTTTATAGCAAACCCCGCTACTGTGGCAACCTACATTTTGGTATCTGTTTTGTTTCATCGACAGACATCTCATCGACAACTTTCAATCAAACGACATATTGACATACATTTCGTCGACACCAGGGGCGGATGCAGGAATTTCCTGAGGGGGGGGTCAGGCGTCGGTCAGCGTACCATATGTTTAGGGACCCCCTCCCCCTCTCCTTCGTTTTACGCCCTAAAATTTACACAAGCAGAAATCAAGAGGGGGGTCAGGACATCCGGACCCCCCTCTAAATCCGCCCCTGGTCGACACTGACATGCCATCGACAATCGTTACGCTAACTGTACGATGTTGTGATGTTTCGTTGTGTGTGTCACTGTAACACAGTGACACACACAGCCAGGTAAGTTAATGCTGACGCATTAACTTACCTGACCCGCCCGTCTACGTCATTTGCAGCAACCGTCTGTGGCGGCTCACTACAGAAATATTAACACACCAGGCCTGTCGTAGCCGTTGCTCGGGTATAACAAGAACAGTTTATTGCGGGTTAAAGGCAATACGTGTAGTCAGCAACACACAGCCATGTCCTCGCATAATTGTGCCGTTCTCCCCCGTCCACTGGCCTCCCGGAGCGAGAGCACTCCGCGCGTAGGCGCGTCGCGGCACAGCAGTCGGCGGTCGCTCGCAATGCCACTCACGACACCCCCCTTTCTTAGGAGTAGGGAGCCGCGCTACAAGTCCAACCTGTACGATGGTCTGCTTGGTCGTCCGCTCCTAGTGACCGCCGTTGGCTGCATGTGACTCCCGCTGCGTCGTGTTAGTCCTGTTGATGTGCTTACAATGTAGGACCTTGGTTGGGCTGCTGGCCGTGTCACTGCACCGCAAGATGCCGGACCACTCCGTTGCTTTTTCCACCTTCTTGATGACTCCCATTTCTTTCATCCTTTCCAATTCATTTTCCACTTGTGAAAGCAGTGGAAGAGGAACTCGCCTTGGGTATGTAACGGCATAGGGCTTGGCGTCATCCTCACGACAAGGCCCACCCACTGATCTCCACTAGAGGGGGCTGGATGTATGCGCATTGAGCAAACAAGTATGAAGCCACCGGAGGTGAGCGGCTTGTCCCGGAAGCGAGTGCTTGGCAGGTTTTGTAACCCTTCCGAGTGCTGGTTCGAAAAGCGTCGAGGGCGCTGGATTTTCGCTTGTTCCCTCAAGAGAGCCTGCTTGTTGCGCAGTAAGAGTGCATGTGGACCCGAGAAGTATCATGGGAAGCCATTCAATGTAAACATTTTGAGATTCTAGTTGATCAAGTTGTGAATATGTCTCAAGTTCAAATGCCTCATTCTCGGGATTTAATCCAGAACGGGAGTAGTAAAACCCAATCAAAGAAACAAAAAAGCATGGTCCAAAATATCGACTGAATGCACTAGGAAGCTTCCGAGACAAGAATCGAACTTCCGGTGGCTTCACTTGCGCCAGGCTCGGAGAGCAGCTAAGCGCCATCCAGCCCCTTTTAGTAGAGATCAGTGGGCCCACCCACTCAAGCTGCTTCGCGGCAACATTCTGCGGGGAGTCACCACAGAAAAAAAGCTTATCTGAGCTGTCGATGTAACAACTCCCCCCATATTTCAGTATCAGGATTTCTCCTTCAAACAAAACATATTTAAAGATACTTTGTCACCCATTTTTTAGTCATACATATTTGAGTTGTTTTGCAATGCTCCTTTTATAAATGTATTTTAGTATCAGTACTTTAGCTGTCACTGCTGTGTATTCCAGTATTTGTCATTTCAAATGCTTTTTAGGTTATATCCGCCCAACCTTGTCACTCTCAATGAACAGCATTCCAGAGGTATCATGAATACCTGGCTACCAATAACACTAAAGATGACATCTCGTCACAAGGGGCATGTCACATGTAACTCAAAAGGACAGTGCACCAGGGGTGAAAGTTCCATGTACTTACGTCGGTCGACATTCACTATGGTAACGCCGAGGGCAACACCTTTTTGTACAAGTAGGCGGTTTAGGGACAGCCTCTCATCCTCCCTGGCATGCCCGAAAGGCCCACCTCGTGGCACCAACATGAATACGAGCACATAGCTCGTCAAGCCTTTCAGGGTGGTCACAAGCTCCTGAAAAGTGGAAAGGACATTGACTTATGCAGAGGACAAAGCAAAACTACCGTCAAATCCCGTAAGGATGTCCACCCAAAATGAAGAGATAAATTGGGAAAAACATGGGGTGGGCTATCTTTGGGAATGCGACAGCAAAAATTTATTTAAAAAAACGCGATAAGCAACTGGGCTATCCGCTACAAACCACATAAAACGGGAACTGATACCGCGGATTGCGGACACAGCATATTTGCGTTTTATGATGCGATAAACACGTAAGACTCTGCTACGACATCCTGTGTCATGGTAAAAGGGGTTGAGGACGCAGCAGAATCACTTTGCCGTGTTTTCACGATTCTAACGCGCAGGCTGATTTAGCTTTCAGATATTGGCCGGTTCTACCGCGCAGGTAAAGTAATGAAGATTGAACACATACCTTATAGACGGGTTTTATGAAACGAACGCCAACAAAAAATAAATGCTGTGCACTAGTCGCCGTTGTCACAGTGCGACGATGTTTCTTCGCTGTCCACAGGGGTGAGTGCGCGTCGTCGGCTTTGGGAGGGTCGTCTTCCGAGCACCGCTTTGTGAGCTCGTCGGGTCGCTGGGATTGCGAGGCCACGCAGTGGCTACTCCGTCCGTTTTGCCATGACTCCCGTTGAAACAGTTCAAACCTGTGGTGCCTGTGGTTCAAACCTGTGGTTCAAACAGTTCAAACACGCCGCTCCGGCAACCTGAGAACCGTTGAAAACAGCAAGGCCAGGGTGGCGCCAGTGGGCAAGTCAATCATGATATAGGATGGTCGAGAAATAAACCAGTTAGCTGAGTTCGAGACGTCCCTTTTTGTGTCTGATCCTTCTATTAAAAAGTTTACAATTTCTTCGACCACAGTCTCAGGTGTTATATGACATGATTATCATCATCATCACTACCACAACTACCATCCGAACGGATTCCCTACGAGCGGTTTTCCCTACGCTGGCGTTGTCCCCAGATCTAGGCACGGGCAGATCTCTGGATAGGCGCTCGCCGCTTAGGGTGCCAGCAAATACCATGTGAGCCAATACTGGCAACTCCCGCGGATCGCGGGCGAAAAGTGATCGCAGCGCCCCTGGCGAGCTCGGAGTCTCCGCTAGCAGATGAATTCTCCACAACGCACTGGTTTTGCCTATCTCCGGGCGAGGTGAGCAGTGAAAAAATATTGCCACGGACATTCGCTGCTTCGAATGTTAAAAAATAGGTGCCATGCACCTCATGAGTGAAGGACATTTTTTCGCGTGGGAAAGATGTTACAGCTCGTAGGGTGCAATGGACCTTTTCCAAATACTGACGGCACCAGGCGGTGGCTGCACGAACTAAAAATCGAGGAAGTGACCTAACTGCGCTACCAATCGTTAATGGGAGCTACGCTACCAGTTGCTTCGCTCTCCAAGCTGCGTCGCGTGCCCACCGCGACTTTAAAGGGATACTTCAACGAAATTTGAAATATTCCCGTTGTGTTCAAAAATAGGTTAAATATGATCCACAATATCTGTAAATAACAATCGCACGCTTGCATTTTGATCCTGGTGGCTGTATTTTTCGTTATAAACGGCCCACTCTGGCAGGCGCTCGGAGGAGGCCCCGCTTAGAGCACGTGACATCCAACGCAATCGTGACGTAGGTCGTCTCAAGACGAGCAAAGCTACGGCGAGGCTGCGCCGAGAGGATGGCCTAGTCGTTCCAGCCACCGAAGGGGCTGCTTTTGTACGAATTTTGAGTGACGGGTTAATCTTCTATAATCTTCTAGGGGGACAATAGCGACTTCTGCGACACACAAAAGGGATTCTCGGGGAGAGGGGAGTTCCTCCTTCCCCCCTTCTCTCGTCGTGGCCGGAGACGAGACAACCTCCGTCACTAGCTGTCAAGGTTCCTAGACGGGCATTACAAGCGAGGCGTTAGCGACATCCACCAGGTGCTCTTTGCTTATCGTTTAATTCGTTTTAAAATTCCTTCTCGACACTTTTTTAACAAGATATTGGTATGTTCCATGTGATACTGCTCTTTTGAACACATACAGACCAAAAAATGAGCGCCGAAATTTCGTTGCAGTATCCCTTTAAAGGAACACTGACACCCCAAAGGTTTTTTTTTTATTATTATTTATTGTCTAAAACGATGCAAGTTGCAGTCATAAACACGCAAAAAAAAACCGCATCGCGAAAAAAATTATTTTTGCGCGCGTGCGCGCCTTTTTATTTTTGGCGTTTGATTCTCCCGCCTCTAGCCTCCTCGCTTCTTTTGATTCGTGACGTCAAGAATCATGAAATTTAGAAGCTTTGTAGGTGACATCTCTATAACATTTAAAAACGGCAGTCGTAAAACATGTTTTTTAACGCAATTGCGAATGCACTACGGCCCTTCTTTTTGATGTACCAAAAATCGGGAGTTCGTTGTGTGTCGTCTCCTGGATTTGTATCCTCCCCAGGAAAACAGGCGACATCGCTCAAAACCGGTCTGCCGGCGGCCCGGCGCTCGCTCCTTTCATCCTCGCTTTGGGTCGCCATGGCAACAGCAGGGAGTCGTGAAAGAAAGTGGACTCTCAGGACTCCGCAATATTTGACGTCAACGCACCGGCGCGGATCGCGCGGGAACTTGGAATTCGGCATTTGGAAATTGTTTTTTTTTTACTTTACAAAAACTGAATTCCCAAATTTCATATTTTGAGGGTAATGGTCCGGCATCGTTTTCAATCGTTTCGGATAATAAAAAAAAACGATTTTGATGTGTCAGTTCCCCTTTAAAGGGGCACTGACACATCAAAATTATATTTTTTTTTTATTATCCGAAACGATTGAAAACGATGCCGGGACATTACCCTCAAAATTCGAGATTTGGGAATTCAGTATTCGTGAAGTAAAAAAACAATTTCCAAATGCCGAATTCGAAGTTCCCGCGCGATCGGCGCCGGTGCCTTGACGTCAAAAATTGCGGAGACCTGAGAGTCCACTTCCTTTCACCATTCCCTGCTATTGCCATGGCGACCCAAAGCGAGGAGGAAAGGAGCGAGCGCCCGGCGTTGCGGCGGACCGGTTTTGAGCGGTGTCGCCTGTTTTTCGTTGGAGGATACAAATCCAGGAGACGGCACCACAACGAACTCCCGATTTTTGGTATTTCAAAAAGAAGGGCCGTAGTGCGTTCGCAATTGCGTTAAAAAACATGTTTTAGGATTGCCGTAATTAAATGTTATAGAGATGTCGCCTACAAAGCTTCTAAATTTCCTGATTTTTGACGTCACCGATCAAAAGAAGCGAGGAGGCGAGAGGCGGGAAAATCAAACGCCAAAAATAAAAAGGCGCGCGCGCGCGCGGGAAAATTTTTTTTCGCGATGCGGTTTTTTTGGCGTGTCTATGACTGCAACTTGCATCGTTTTAGATAATAAAAATAAATACGACCTTTGGGGTGTCAGTGCCCCTTTAAAGAGGAAAATCCGTAGCGTCCACCCAAACGTCGTGTTTTTCTTTCTGTCCACTTTCTTTTTTTATGTAACACAATTATATATATGCTGCAATTACGTGTTCTACTCGTCGATCTACAGCCTCATTCCGAATTTCCTCGATTTTTCGTTCGGACTTCCACCGCTTGGCATCGGTCGCTCGCGCGTGCGCAGAACGCTTCTCGGAAAAGGTCCTTTTTCGGCTCTCCTGGAGAAAACACTCCGTCAGAACTGTAAGCCAGGCAAAACACGAATGTATTTTCGCCCTGTTTCTTGAAAAAGGGCAATGTGAAAAAAATCTTCAGAACATAGCTACGTTTCAACTTTACTTTTCTTATCGATCAATTCGTTTTGTTGCTGCAATTCCAATTCCTCATGAATGTATTGCTTAAAACCGTTTCGTCAAATAGGCGAGCTGGCTAATCCCGATCGTCTCCGGATCAAAAAGCAAAAGGCAATTTCGAACCACCTACGTTTCTGCGATGTCAGTATGGTTTGGAAGAAGTCGATTGTGCGCATGCAAATCTGACGCTATTACTGAAACTAATAAAAACGGAGTTACAAAAACAAAACAAAAAACACCCGTTGGACAGTCGTGCATCTCCTTCCATTTTTCAAAGTCTACTTTGTCGCCGCGGTCTTTCTTCCTTCTGCGTTTATGTTGTTTTGTTCGTTTTCTTCATTCTTGTGTTTACTCGACGTTCGAACCATCGCGTATTTTGTTTTGCCGGCTTAGTTTTTACTTTGTTTCCTTCGCTACTCCCGCCGGTTCGTCTGCCACTCTATCCCCGGACATCAGGAGGGCCGTCTGCAACTTTGTTGTGATTGTTTTTGTTTGTTTCTTCCACTGTCGTCTGCGATTGAGTTTCTGAGTTTTTAGAGCGCAGCTCTTAGGGGCCCGTTTCCGGCTTGAGCGGCGTCGCCGTCGCCGTCGCCGTCGGCGTAACCGCGCGGTGCATTATGGGTAAATTTCCCCGCTAAATCTAGCGGAAAAATTTCCCCGCTAGATTTAGCGGAAAAATTTCTCCGCTGAACCTAGCGTAAAAATTTTCCCCGCTAGATTTAGCGGAAAAAATTCCCCGCTAAATCTAGCGGAAAAATTTCCCCGCTAAATCTAGCGGAAAAATTTCCGCTAAATTTAGCGGGAAAATCTAGCGGGAAAAATTCCCCGCTAAATCTAGCGGGAAAATTTCCCCGCTAAATCTAGCGGAAAAATTTCCCCGCTAAATCTAGCGAAAAAACTTTCCCCGCTAGATTTAGCGGAAAAATTTCCCCGCTAAATCTAGCGGAAAATTTCCCCGCTAAATCTAGCGGAAAAAATTTCCCCTCTAAATCTATCGGAAAAAATTTCCCCCTCTAAATCTAGCGGAAAAAATTTCCCCGCTAAATCTAGCGGAAAATTTCCCCGCTAAATCTAGCGGAAATTTCCCCGCTAAATCTAGCGAAAAATTTCCCCGCTATATCTAGCAGAAAAAATTTCCCCGCTAAATCTAGCGGAAAAAATTTCCCCGCTAAATCTAGCGGAAAAAACCCCCGCTAAATCTAGCGGAAAAAAATTTCCCCGCTAAATCTAGCGGAAAATTTTCCCCGCTAAATCTAGCGGAAAAATTTTGGTCACGTGACCCGGGGGGTCACGTGACCTGGGGAGTCACACCCCGGTCACGTGACCCCCTCCCGAGGTCACGTGATTTCTGAGGGGGCACGTGTTTGCCCCCATGTGCCCCCACCAAGGTCACGTGCCCTCGGGGGGGGGGGTCACGTGACCGAACACGTGGCCCCCAGTACCCTCCCCTCCTCCTCCTCAAGAGCTGCGCTCCAATTCGGCGTTACAGGGAGTGGTAAACGGCTTCCACTTTTTTTGAGTTCCGTTCGCCTACGATTGAGTTTCTGATCCAAAATCTTCAGATATACTTTTTGATACTTAATAAACATATTAAAAAGTGTAAGCTCGTTAAACATTTCTATGCATATTTTATTTGAGTACGCAGTCACGTCTGCTATGGGTCATCGTTGGTTGATCAACCGGCCGCCTGGAAGCAGCACATGGCATGGCAGGCATGCCATGTGCTGCTTACCCCTGAAAAAAAAAAGTTTTGGTGGTGTGGTGGAAAATCCTTCTTCCGCTTCCCGAAGACCAAACAAACCTGAGTAATTAAGTTACTTCAAATTAAACTGGAAGAGCTATCCAAGTCTGGCTTCAAAATAGTCACTGACGCCTCAGCAG